ATTGAAAACCCATAGAATAATACTAGAAACATAAGTCCATTTCAATGAAACAATCTATACAGATCTAGAAATAGTTAACCCTTATAAACCAAAGAGAATTCTTATTAGCAATCAAGAAAATTAAAAAAACTTAGTAACTTTGCAAACAAAACAAAATCAAAGCAAGCACATGCAAAGAACAAGATTGGGGGAAAAGTGTCCAAATTTCAAAAGACTTGTTTTAGTTAAACAACTGAAATAAGTTCTTTCTAGTCACCAGAATTGACATATCTATAGGCTTCTTCTTGGCTTTTTCTTCAACCCAAAATTTTAAAGAGAATCCTTTTTACCAATAGTAAAAAAAAGAAACCAAATTTGAAGAGAAAGCAATGTGACCACTGAACAAAACCCTAAAACTTACAAAAAAAAAAACCAGATTTGTTGAAGTTGCTAACAAAAACAACAAAAAAGTAATTAAATTTTTGAAAACAAACAAGCACCTGTTGATGTGACCCACTATAAGATTTAACACCAAGTTAAAAGCTGGAAAATACAAGCAATAAGATTAATATAATACTCAAGAACACAGAAACCAAAACAAAAAATTGAAAAAAAGTAAATGCAAAAAAACTAGTCAAGAAAGAAGAAAGTGAATGATGATTATGAAAGGTCATAGTACAAGGGTTAAAAAAACAAACACAAATCACAAATTAGGGTTTATCTTTTTCTTCAAGAACACAATGAACAATCTCATAAACCTCTGTGTATTTCCTCTAACTATGAGTGAAACAAATCACAATCCAGCAAAAACATTTAATGATGATTGAACAAGAACAGAAATCAATAAATCATAAAAACTGATTCTCAGGTGAAAAATCAAAAAAAATCAAATTTGGGTTTTTGTGATTTGAGACCTTAAGATGAACAATGCCGACGGTTTTCTGGTGTTTCCGACGACCACTACAACTATCCATCCTCGTTAAACGATTATTCGAAATATCTCCGATTAGTTTCACATCATCGGAATTAGAAATCAGATTCAAATTCTCCGGTCGACGGATCTTAGAATAAGATAAGATTCCATTACGGAGAAGGAACCATCTAGATCTCCATCCTTTACCAAAATTAGTCCACTTGTACAATATCCCAGCCACCGTTTCCGTCTCCGATCTCACCTTTTTCCGGTCAGATCCACCGGTAGTCGTTGTCGCCGGAAGACTCCTCGACCTAGTCAAATTCGTCACCTCCGACGAACCGAGTGGACTCTCTAGAGTTATACAACAGAGAGGATGTAACTCCTTCACACGCATTTTTTGATTCTCCGATCACAAAATCGAGAGATGTAGAAGACAAAGCATGCAGATCTTTTTGGGGATTAAAAAATCGAATTGAAGAAGAAGACGGAAGAATAAAGAAAACCCTGAGCTCTGAAACTGAGATTTTAAC